CGGTCATAGAGTCTCAAACTCCAGCCCGTCGCGCTAGCACTAGACCAGCTACCCAAATAAGATTCATCCAACTAGGTATATTTCTACACCATAGGAAAAGTTAGCCACAGGGCACCTCTGTGCCCAACAAATGCAAGTTTTTACAGACGAATTCCAGCTAGCCGGTGGCCGGACGAACTCTAGCTCAAGCCTAGTTGGATGATCTTATTGTGGCTAGCTGGTTAGTGGCTAGCGCGACGGGGCTGGAGTTTTGGACTCTATGACCGCGGTTCAATCCGGCCCGGGGTATGGTTTATTTGCAATCGTCTTTACGATTTTTAAGTATGTTGACCGGGCAGTGAAGGGACTTGAGCTAGAGTTCGTCACGGCCACGTAGCTGGAGATTTCGTCTGTAAAAACTTGCATTTGGGTCACAGAGGTGGCCTGTGCTAACTTTCCTATGGTTTTAGAAATTTTACCTAGTTGGATGAATCTTATTGTTGGTTCTGGTCTAGTGGCTAGCGCGACGGGCTGAGTTTGGACTCTATGACCCCCGGGTTTCAATCCGGCGGGGTATTTTAGTTTATTTGAAATTTTGTTTTTACGATTTCTTAAGTCATGTTGCGGCAGTAAAGGGACTTGAGTTTAGAGTTCGTCACGGCACGCTAGCTGTTTGATTCGTCTGTAAAAACTTGCATTGTGGTCACAGAGGTGCCGGTGCTAACTTTCATATGGTGTAGAAATAACTAGTTGGATGAATCCTTATTGTGGCTACTGTTAGTGGCTAGCCGACGGCTGGAGTTTTGAGATCTATGACCGCGGTTCAATCCCAGCCGGGGTATGATTTTAATTTGCAACGTGTATTACGATTTCTTAAGTCATGTTTACATTCTAGCACTGCGGAGACATAGCATTACAGTACTGTAAAGGGGTTTATCTTCCAATTTTTTTTTCAGGGTGATGTATGAAGCTGATTTTGAAATTAAAGTGTTTTGGGGCATATTTAGGGTTTAAACTATAAAAAATAGGCATTTTTTTAACAGTGTCCAGAATTCCGTTTTTTCCAAATTCGTGGGTGGTCTTGGAATGTAACCCCCACAAATTTGGGGGACTACTGCTTAATGTAAAAATTGAAAAAAATTTAATGTATTCACAATTAGCTCTGCGACTTGAGGAAAAACATTATCTTAACACTTCTTGTAAATGGGAGTGACATTGTCTTAACATTGACTTAATATTCCCAGTCCCATTTTAAACCAATCACAGTAAGTACAAATTAACTCTTGTCAAGAATCACATAATGGGTCAGATACAGAAAATTACGGCTGGGGAACATATTTCCCCATTTTGCACTGTTTATGGTAAAATAGGTTCCTAATACCGAAAGTTCGATTTACAATGAACTTTCGGGAACACAATGATTGTGAATGTTACTCTGACATAATTCCTAAATTTAAAAAAGTATACTGTATACATATTTTTATATACCTACGAAAAACCTCCTTTTAACGATGGTTATATGTACAATTACAGATACTTTTTTTAACACATTGACATTTTCCCCACTAAAGCCGGGTGGACCACCCTTGCAGGGATCATAACCCAACATCTTTTCATTTAGCTACTGTGATGCCTCCAAACTCCATGGATTTTGTCATATTTACATTGAAATGAAATCACCCATTTGTAATTCTGAGGAAGGCACCAGCTCTTCTTGGTCCTGTTTAAAATTTTGACCTACTGATATGACTGAGCCCTGTCATGGCCTATATGGACTCTGTTTTTTCCCTAGTTGATGCTTAGGTCATTCTGTTTTTATATTTTTGGGATTGAGGTCCAGCTCCTGGGTCCTTCCTCCTTAAACATAGATAGACTAGCATGATACATTTCTACCCCAATATGAAAAACAACCAGATCATAGAGATGTAAACAGTTCATTACCACTGTAATTTTAGGACCAGTCCCTGGACCTATTATGTGGCTCTGTAATCTTTAGACTACCATTGACAGCATACATAAAGGGAATTACCAATTGACCCCTAGGCATTTTCAAAAAGGCACTGGACAGGTACCTAAAATTAGTCCCAGACCAGCCAGGCTGTAGTTCGTACATTGATCTGCATGTGGCCAGCAGTAACAGCTTGGCAGTCAGCCCTGATCCACCAGGGAGACTTGGTCACAGACCGAGCTGTGGGGGCGTTGACCTCAAAACCTTTCAGGGTATACTCAAAGGGATACACAGGATGGGCATGTGGTTGTATAATAAAGCTGTTGAACTAACACCTATATTTAAATTTACATATAATGTTTCCCTTCCATCATGAGTGGTGTCTGGAGGGGTGGTGAAGGTCAGGGCCAGCCATTGCTGTGGCACAATGTAAAGTTTGATACCCCGCTAAAAAACCCCTCAATTTATTTCACTCAGTTGAATTTTTGTAAGCATTTTGCTGAACTTAATTGATCTAAATTATGTTACATTATCCCATATCTATGTAATTATTTTTATCAATAAATATTTTATTTTTTAAGCCTCAGAGATGTAGTGAGAGAAGAAACCCTGAATCACTGCTTAACCATGAAACAGATTTCTAATTTAGCAAGTTTACTTTAATCATGAGAAGGCACTAAACCCATTGTGGGTTATTCTGTACCTGGAAAATGAGAAGTCTTCAGGTTTAATCCAGAGTACGAGAGGAAAAAAACTATTTCTTTGATTTAAGAGTCTTTCACCTGCTTCAGATTACAGTAGTCCCCCCTGAAGGAAATGGCTGTGTTCTCCTGTCTGCTATGAAGTAAAACAGATGATGTGTTGGCCTTTGATGACCTGATGGTCTCCAAGACATTAGGCATGCATTCAGATAATGAGTCATTTTGCAATCCACAGTATTCTAGAAAAAAGAGTAAGATACATATTTTTAAAAACTACTGAAACATCGTTTCCATGATCACAGTTTTGCGGCAATGTGTAGATTAAAAATGTTTATTGTATCTATGTACAATACTAAAACATTTATTTGTTCTTCATAAATCTTTTTGCCTGAAAATACTACTGTATTCACTTCCAAATTATAAAGGAAATTATGACTTCAAATGAGAAATCTTTACAAAGGACTGAACTTCAATTTTATACGGCACTGAGGGAAATTTCACTATCTGAAATATATTTTGTTTTACATCAGAAATTTTGTTTCATCATCTTGAGAAAACTTTATTATCTATTCCTTCTTTATCACTGACAGCACCACTTGTGGCCTTCGCCTCTGCCAACTCGTCAACATATTTATACGATACAGCGAGTGCAAGCAAATATAATCATATCGACAAACATTAGGACAGCAAACAAGAAGAATTCCATTGCCTGTAAAGAAGTTCACACAATTAGAATCAATGCTGAATTAAGATATTTTTCAGAAAAACTACTTTTGTATAAAATTTCTTTTGTGAATCAAATTGCTCAACATTTTTAATTTTTTTTTTCAAATGAAACCCGCAGCATCCCACTGAGGCACAGTGACTAAAAAGAAAATCGAAAGTTTCTCATTTTAAATTTAGTAATGTATACAGGAGAAGGGGTTTAATTTGTATGTTGTAAAAGGTCACCTGCATTCTCACTATATGATACCCCATTTTAATTTACTTGGTATTAGACTAAAGAAGAGCTCATGGTGAAAATTTTCCCTTTAAACCCCTTGACGTTGCAACCCCTGAGGTGTCTCCTGGTGTCGCAAAAAAAAAAAAAATCCTTATGAAATGATAGAGAATTTTTTCCCAATTGTAATGACCCAAAAGAACGAAATTTGATGGAAAACTGAAAGAAATTACGCTCTCGTGAAGTTAGCGACCTCGGAGATATTACGAACAGGCAATTTCGCCGACTTTGAGCCCTATTTTCTGCTATTCCATTGTTCCAGTCAACCAAACTCAGCTATTTCTTTAGAACTCCATTTGTTCTATTGATTGAGTACAAGAAAAATGCCCATTTACCGGTTTCAACTACCCCAAAAACGTGGTCAGAAATTTGCAATTTGGCCAAGTTCACGAAAATTAAAAAAATGACAATTTCAAAATATGGTCCCGAATGAACAAAGCGACATTCCTGGCTCTAAAATAACATTTTCTTTTTTCTCAGTCACATCTCCGGCCCCTCTGATATTACTCTTGCTTTCTATTTTGAATTTTTATTCAAACAAAAAATAAAAGATTTACTGTTATGCAGACTACTGCAATATTGTTAAAAATTGTATAAATAAAGTCAACCCATTTATGACTGCCATATTAGAATGGCTACTTGGACATACAGTGGACCCCGCATAACGATTACCTCCGAAAAGCGACCAATTATGTAAGTGTATTTATGTAAGTGCGTTTGTACATGTATGTTTGGGGGTCTGAAATGGACTAATCTACTTCACAATATTTCTTATGGGAACAAATTCGGTCAGTACTGGCACCTGAACATACTTCTGGAGGGGAAAAAATATCGTTAAACCGGGGGGTTCCACTGTATATTGGAAAATGACATTTGTTTACTTTTGAACATCGGCAAAAATCAAACATTTCCCCTACTTTGAACTCTATTTCCAGGTTCTTTTCATAGTAAAACCAGCCAAATTTACCCCTAATTCTATAATGTTTTCCATTCCAACAAACGAGATGAGGAAAACTAGAATACAACCATAAATACTATACGAAAATAAACCACAAAGTCGGTATCTTAATTAAAAAGCGTTCAGAGTTTTTTTTTTTCATTATGCACTGCGTGCTGCAGGATTTTTTTTATATGGTGCACACTGACCACACAGACCCATTCTCTCACATGTGGGCCTAGCAGCTTTCTCCTGCTTGATCTGAAGCCGCTAGAATTTATGAGTATATATACGTCAAAAAAAGGTAGCTTGTTAGACGTATATATACGACCAAAACAGTCCCAAAAGGGTTAGTAAATATCTTGAACTAAGCATAAGTGTCTTTATTAACAAATCAATTTGTAATAAATGAGTCCCTTTTTTAAATGATCTTACCTGACTTTTAAAGAACTTGGCTTCTGCAATGATCACCACAATCAAGTTACCAAAAGATACAGTAAGTAGCCAGGCAGCTTGCAAAACTGACTTCATACTACTGGGAGACTGTGGAGAAAAAAACAATAGGCTGTCATTATTTGTGATCAAGACTGTACCCATACAGATTTTAAAAATATCAAGTAAATTGAAAAAAATTGGTATTGGTTTTGTGAGTAAATATAGCACAAGAGTGGTAGATCAATGGAATGAATAATAAGAGAATATAATAGTTACTACAACCATTCCAAAAATTACATACTGAACAAAGTAATGAAGAGCAGACACCATAAATATATCTCTGATCCTGTATATACAATTAGGTAATTGCATCATTTTTTTTTTAACACACTGGCCATCTCCCACTGAGGCAGGGTGCCCTAAAAAGAAGAAACAAAAGTTTTCCTCCTTTTTAAATTTAGTAATTTATACAGGAGAAGGGGTTACTAGCTCCTTGCTCCCAGCATCTTAATTGTCTCTTACAGCATGCATGGCTTACAGAGGAAGAGGAAGGGTTCTTCATTTCCCTGTGGAGAATTACATCATCTATTAAACAACTATTATGTTATGAATAATGAGCTTGTGAACAATATAATAAATAAAAGTTGCTAAATATCCTTTGTTTCACGAATTAAGTTATATTTATGAGTGGGATTAGCAGTGTTATGTGGCAGCTTGTCTAAGATCCTAGAGGTAGAGTCAAATGTTGGTCCAAAGCTAGTGCCTAATGGTACCTTTTAGTTATAGTTCAGTAGGCTTTAAAACTAATTCATTATCTATGATGTGAAGCTCAAGAGTAAGTTCACAATTGCATTAATGCTAAAGTGCTTTATAAGTATTATCACTTATGCACAAATTTAACAGTCTACCTGTGTGTGTTCAACAGAAGGTATTAGCAACAATGAATAAAAAGGCATAATACCATGACTGGAACAATACACAAATAGCTTGTACAAAGGAGAAAGAAACTTATAACGGTTTTGGTCTTGACTTGAACCACTAACTAGTCATGTGTGTGACTAGTTAATGGTCCAAGTCAGACCGAAACATCATCATAAGTTTCACCCTCCTTTGTGAGGGTTATTTGTGTATCTGCAACAAGTATGATACAAAGACACTGACATAAAGTCAACTATTTTATTGATGTTTTGCTCTAGAACTCAGGCATTAACAATCTTTATTTGCCCATTTCCCAATTTCAACACCTCCCTTGATTCATTACCCCTCATGATGAGTATTTCCACAACTTCAGTCTAGCCTTCTAACATTTGAATGCCTATAGCTTAATTGTAGAATGTAAAGACCATGATAGACAATTAAGATTTTATTACAGTATTTCGTGTTTTCTTTTGCTTTGTCTTGTATTACTCCTTAAATATAACCAATTTATCCCAAGCTGAGAACTCCTGCATTTAGCAGAGCATATTAATGCCTTTCTTTTGTACCTACCAATGTTTTCTTAAATGTAAACCACATTATTTGTACTTTCTTTCAACACACCGGCCGTATCCGTATCTGTATTTTTTTTTCCATGTAGGATGATGAAATGATAATGATAATGGAAAATAAACCTTACCTGTGTAAATGAAAACTCGAGACCAGTAATTGAGAACATAATTTCCGAGACCGTAATGATGAAGTATTGGGGTATCAGCCACATTATATGCACAGAGTTAGAAGGAGTAACTTCAAACACGTTCACCGTCTGTAATACAGAAACACATGGTAAAGTTACTTTGTATTTTGATTTACATGTACAAAACTTCACTTTTTACAACATCAGCCATGTGTTACTAAGGTTAAAGTGACCCCCAAAAGAGGAAAAATTCACCTTCATTCATTCAACAGCTCTATCTTACCAGAAGTGTATGGGCATAAGCACCTTAATGAGCCACAAGCACCTTAGTGAGCCATTAGCACCCTAGTGAACCATGAGCACCCCAGTGAGCCCTGGAGCACCCTATGTGAGCCATGAGCGCCCTAGTGAGCCACGAGCATAAGATATTCAGATTGTGAAGTCTAACAGCTATGAAGTAGTTCTATGCTGAGGAAAAATGCTTGTATACACACTAGTGACAAAGGACCTTCATAAAAAAATGTGTATAACTGTAATTTTTTTTTTAAACATCGGCCATTTCCCATCAAGGTAAGGTGGCCCAAAAAAGAAGAACTTTCACCATCATTCACTCCATCACTGTTTTCCCTTGCCAGAGGTGCACTTACACTACAGTTATAAAACTGCAACATTAACACCCCTCCTTCACAATGCTGGCACTGTACTTTCCATCTCCAGGACTCAAGTCCGGCCTGCCAGTTTCCCTGAATCCATTCATAAATATTACCCTGTTCACACTCCAACAGCACGTCAAGTCCTAAAAACCATTTGTCTCCATTCGCTCCTATCTAAACATGCTCACACTTTCTTGCTGGAATCCAAGCCCCTTTGCACATTTAAAAACCCCCTTTAGCCCCTCCAAACCCTTTCCTAGGCTGACCTTACCCCCGCCTTCCCTCCACTACAGAAATTTTACACTCTCGAAGTCATTCTATTTTGTTCCACCCCCTTCTACAGTTCGAACCACTCAACCACCCTCCTCAGCCTCTGGATAATAGTTTTGTTTTAAACCTGCACCTCCTAATTTCCAAACTACGAATTATCTGCATTATATTCACACCACACATTGCCCTCAGACACGACATCTCCACTGCCTCCAGCCTTCTCTTTGTTGCAGCATTCACCACCCATGCTTCACACACACATAGGAGTGTTGGTATATTGTAAATTCTTTTATGTATATTTTTTTAACACACCGGCTGTCTCCCAGAGAAGCAGGGTGACCCCGAAAAAGAAGAAACATTTTTGTAAAATATATTCTTTTTACATTTAGTAAGTATACAAGAGAAGGGTTACTAGCCCTTTGCTCCCGGCATTTTAGTCGTCTCTTATGATATACATGTACATGGCTTATGGAGGAAGGATTCTTCTCTACTTCCCCAAAGAGTTTTGTGCATATTTTTTTTTTTTAGCATGCTGGCCATCCCCCCCTGAGGCAGGAT